GTAGAACGCGCAAGGATTCAATTATCAGGGGAAGTATTTGATTAAACAGAAAGGAACGAGTTCAAGGTGTGTGTTCTTACTTCACGAGCGCGGAGGTAGTTAGCCAGAAATGAAGAACCCGCGTTTCGGCCTGTGTGCTGGCCTGGAAGAATTGTTAATCGTTCAAGTGATCTTCAAGTTTGCTGATTAGCAGCGGTATTGTAAAACGCGTGAGGTTAGTTACTTTAGAGAGCCTCGTAGTTAGAGTCTTGTCTTTAGTTTCTTTTCAGGTTATTATTTTATTGACCGCCGAGTTGGCGCAGTTGTGAGCGTCAAAGCAGCACTTGTAATTTATTACATTGAATAAAAAGGACTTAATCCTTAACAAGACTCTGTCTTTTATCCAGTTTCACAGTCATCTCTTGGTTGCGTGCAAGTTGGAGGCGCGCAACGCTACAAGTGTTCTGCCTTTTTGTGACAAAAGCATCTAATGTTGTTTGCCTTTTTCTTTTGCGTTGTTCTCTTAAAAGTCTTCATAAACGGATAGAGCATCTCTAACACCACGCCTTACTTTTGAGCTCCTGTCAAAATTCGGATCATTTTCAATGAATTGATCCATTATTTCAGTTATGGTAGACAAAGTCCTTTTTACAAACGCCATCGAAAGTTCTTTTTGGCTCTTCTTCTGAATCACTGCTGTCAACATTTTTGTTTTCTTCTTTTTCAGTTAATTCCTTGAGCTCATCATTAGAAAGACTAGCCGCTGCTTCTTGAATTATTTCTTCGACATCTTCCACATTTACCCCTTCAAAATATGTCTGTACAATACCGCACCAAACAAGAAATACAAGTACACTCTTTCGGATATGTATTTGAAACCTATCGCTGCATAATATTTCGGGGAATCCCCGTATGCTGCGAGCGATTTCGTGGAATCCCCGGGTTGAAATAAAAGAGCGCTAAACCGAAACAGCGCTAAACGAAACAGCGTTAAGCGGGGTCTTACTGTATTTTCTGATATTAAAATTTAAATTTATGACAAATTATATTGGACATCATCCATATCAGTTGTCTTATCTTAAAACTACGCATCAGCTTTTTCTCTGCGATAATACTGATAAAGACTGAGTAATATTTACCCCTACATATATAATGTAACGAATCTGATAGATTTGGAGGAAAGCGATTCCTTTATTCCTTTTTGATATCATTATTATTTGTCGAAATACTCGCGCATATTTTCAGCATGCCAAATTAGTGGTAAACTGTGCCGCATTATAACCGGAACATTTTTTCCGAATCGTAATTTCTGTTGCAATTTCAAGCGAAATATATATATATATATTTTAGGATTAAATTCATTAGAATCTGTGAAACGAAAACCGATTCTTAGAATACGAAATTTTGAGGACGAGCAGTAATGCATTAATATTTATTTATTTATGAAAATCAAACGAGAGCAGTTTTTTACGCTGTATACTTTTTGCTGTGAAGTTTTTTTTATCAAAATATTTTATGGTAAAATATGGCAGCGTCTAGTTCTGTGTTTGAAAGTTTTATTATCTTGAAAGAAAATTTGCAATTTATTGAACACTCGAACGGTACTTTCATGAAACATGGTCGAAGAATATTTCTGTCAGTTGAAAGTTTTTGCTTTCAAGGAGAAAAGATAGATCTTATAAAGTTTTGAATCCACATAAGTCTTATTATCTGCTAAATAATTTCGAAGAAAGCGAAAAATAATAACTGTGTTCCTGGAAAAGTAATCCAATATGGGCTTAGTTTAGTTGCCCACATAAACCTTCATGTTTAATCAATTCATGATTCAGTTTCTATATATAATGTGTTATGCTAGCAGGTTAGAGGCAAAATATTTGAACTAAACATCTTCGTTAATCGTTTTGAGTAATGAGTAATAAGATATATATATCTACTTGCCAGATTTGTATAAAACCTGATTGAAATTGTTAAAGGAAGAAGATACAAGATACAATACTTGTAGATTATTTTATGTTGGTACAACTGAACCACATTACCAAATTTAATGGAAGAACACCGTGGATACACTTTGCTGTAAAGCAAGAAGAGAAAACTATTTGGTTTGTATTCATATGGCCAGCAATAAGTAATCGGACATTTTAAGATTAATCGCTTCGACTCAATTGTAAGAAAAGTTCATGATGCGAAGTTGTGGAAGCATTTGTCTTATCGTTGCACTTCCGCTGGAAGCTCTCTTCCGGTTGGAAAAGTTTTTAACTCTCGGGTTTTTATCTAGCGCTTTTGTTATCACATTCCGCGGATAAAAAGGGGGTGGTAGTTGACACCAGTTGCAGACAGTATGTGAGCCATGGATATAAGAACAGTAATATTTTTGTTTAGTGTCTTTGTGTTTTTCACTTGCCATTCGTGGGCCCAAGATCAGGTGAGTGTCACTCATCGTAGTCTATTTTAGTTTTAAGTAATGAATTGAAAGAACATTATTGTAAACTGCAAATCTTAATATCCATGTGGTCATTGAATGGTTCAATAATATTACCCGATTCAATAATAGTAACAATTATTAATAAATTCATCAGATTGATAAATTTCTAATTTACAGCACATTTAAAATCGTGGAAAGAATCGTCTCATTTATATTTTGAAATATTAATTACTCTATATTTTCCTTTCTATATTCAAAATTTTTTGCCTAAGGAAGGGTGACATTTTGCGCAAAAGCTAGAATAGCAAAATGTACCTATTGGAGTATATGGTATACTTTTTGCGTATGCATTTTGTGTATTCAAAACTTTGAATTAATGAACTTTTGAATTAATTAACTCTTGAATGAAACTATTTCTGTATTCAAAACTTTTTGACTGAGGAAATGTGACATTTTGCGCAAAATCTAGAATAGCAAAATGTAACTATTGGCGTATGTGGATATACTTTTTGTATATGTAGAATAGAAAAATGTAACTATTAACGTATATGTTAATTTTTGTGTATGCATTATTTTGTGTATACTTTTTGTTTGTATATGCTATAATAGCAAAATGTAACTATTGGCGTATATAGTACACTTTTTGTGTATGCAGAATAGCAAAATGTAACTATTAGCATATATGTTATAATTCTTGAGTACGCATTATTTTGTATATACTTTTTGTGTATGCTAGAATAGCAAAATGTATTGACGTATATGGTACACTTTTTGTGTATGTATTACACAAAAAGCGAGGTTTGGTTTCCAGCTACATAGGTAAAATCGAGATAAAGCTATATACTTTACATTATATTAATCTTTATTCAGTTATAGAATTTGATAGAATAATAAGCATAATCCTATCGAATGGAAAACATGCAAAATTTGAATATTACCACTTACATTTTTTTATCTCTTTTCAAGTATAATGCACTGCTGGAAAATTCTTAACAATACATTATGTATGAACATTATTTTTATAACGATTTTAACTCATATTGTATTATTGATTATAAAGTAAACTATTTATAATTCGTAGAACGGGAAAATATAAAGTAGTTTTAATGAATTAATTTAACACACATTTAATGAAAGCCTAATGTAAATCTTATTTCTTTCATCCGATGTTTCCTTTAATATACTAGTTTGTTATAGTCAAATAATTTAATAATGAAACGTAATTTTTCATTATGTAAGTGTGATGCATTTAAAAAGTAAACAACTCATATATTTAATTCATGCTTGCTTTTAAACTATTATCACTTGTATTCTCAATCAAATGGATCAGCATTATATATACTATATCAGAAGCGGTTTGAAAGTTTAATAAATCCTAGTTCATGATTCTGATCAGAATGTTGCAAAATCTAAATCCTTTCAGTTACCGTATTTAAATGACAATGACTTATATTTCCAACGATTTTATGAAAAATATTATTTCTAAAAGAATTATAGTTGTTTCTGTAAAATAATTTTCAGTTTTGAAATAATTTCAATCTTTGAAGCAATATAATTCTAAAGCAGATGCTTTAATCAACATGCATTTATAAATGATTTAGTTCATTTGCTGTCTTGTAGAATAAAGTGGGAATGTAAATTTTTGATTCACTTAGTCATGAAACATCATTTTAAATAAATATCAGCTAAAGTTTAGAAGTTCTTGTAGTTTAAATGTGCAATTTAAACATATCACGAGAAATGTTCTTTCACTCTTCCGTTTAATTTTGCATTCTTTTTACCCAGAGTAATGTTTATCGAACCAATAAAATTGCAAATTTCTTCTTAATTGCTCATTAAAAAGAATTCTTATAATTTTTGGCAAGAAGTGTGAGTGAGTAACTGTCTTTATGATTTGAATTCGGTTTAGAGTAAGGCAAAATATTGATATTCAGTATTTAAGCTATTTGCAGGATTAAAAGAATATTTGATGTACTACATTACTAATAAAATATTTGCCAGTCTTCCCATTTCATTCCATATTTCTCAAACTGGTAATTCCTATTTCAAAAGCTTTGAACACTAATTTAAAGTTAATATAAATAATTAATTAGCAGTTTACTACTTGTAAATGTCTATCCCAACACCCAATAAAAAGTTATAAGATAGAGTTATATTAATTAATAAATTCATCAGACGGGTAAATTTTAAATTTCCAGCACATTTACAGTCGTGGAAAGAATCATCTGATTTATATTTTGAAATATCAATTATTCTCTTTTCCTGTCTATACTCGAAACGTTTTGATTGCGGAAACGTGACCTTTTGTGCGAAAGCTAGAATACCAAAATGTAATTATTAGTGTTTATAATTATTGGTGTAAATGCATTTTAAAAGCATTCTATTAGAAGTTATATGGGCACAATAAAGTAAGTGTTTTATTACCTAAATCATACAGAATGTATTCGAGAAATTTTCCTTAACTGTAAAAAGAATTTTGTAAACAATGTCTCTCTTAGTAGCAAGTCTACAACGTTAATATCAAATTTTAATGTCTTTAAAGTGTTTAAAAGTAATAAAATATTGCTTCATTTGGAAAGTTTTTCAGAATTTCCTGTCTTACGGTCGATGTAAGAAATTACAACTAACTGAACGTAGATTTTTGTATCATGTATACTGACTCTAACAACAATTTAAATAACATTATTAAAAAAAGAATTTATAAAGTCTCACTTGCTCAGTAATTTAATCCTGGATTGATTGAAAACATTTTTGCGGTAATATTTTAAAAATATATTGTGATTCTAGCATAATTTTCAATTAAATCTCAGTTAAAATGAGTTCCAAACATTAAATTAATATCTTAAAAAACATTCATTTTTGATTGTTTTCCTTAAAGATCAAGACTGTAAAACTTCTTTCTCAAGGAAATTAGAAACATTCGGCAATCATCTATAGCTGAAATTCTAACAAAATGAAGGTAAATTAGTTTATTGTCTATTACTTTAGAAAGTGTTTAATTGAAATCTTCTCTCGCCATTTTTCGAAGTGCTAAATTCAGTGAGGTGTTTAATCCTGGAAATACCTGTATATCAGAGTTAAACCCAAAGCAATTAATCTTCTTCTTTACGGCTACATGTTATAGTTATATAAAATAATAGTTATATATATATTATTTTATTTTATTTTAGAAAATAACTTTTACACTGAGTCACAAATCTATTGAAAAAAAATCAGGAAGTTAAAAACAAACTAACAATAATTTTTCTGTAATATAAGTTACCTCTCAAATTACATAAGCAGAATAGAAAATAATTCGAATTAAAAAAACACTTGAAAGAAGTAAGCGGCTTTACTGTAGGAAAGGAATAGGTGAATATTATTTTATATCTTTTAAAATGAAAACGCATAATATAATAGTTTTATGATTTATGTATACTTCCCGAGTTTACGAGTTACGTGGGATTGAATTCTGCCTCGTAAACTGATAGCTCGTAAAGCGAAAATAATTTCCCCACAGGAAAGATATGACAATGGCTTCGAACAAAAAGAATCCTTAAAGTATCAGTCAAAAAGAAAAAAGGCAAAAACATTCATTAAAAATAATAAGGCTCCCTATAAATAAAAAAAAAGTAGATAAAAATAAGAAAACAAAGAAAGAAAGAAAAATGTAAGAAATGGCGAAAAAAGAAGGTTCAGATTTTAACGACCGGCCAGAGAGACTGTTTTAAAGTTTAATATTTTATAGACATTTTATAGATTACATTTTATAGATGATTATGGAACTACTTAATTGGAAATGTCTTGTATCTTCGTGTATTTAAAAAGTGATTGAACATATAATATGATTCTATAAAAATACTTAATTTTTTCAATTAGATATACAAAAATTAAATGTATTTTTATTTAAATAAATCAGAAAAAGTAAAACAAAAAAGTATTATTTTAAGAATCGCATCTATTGATTTTAAAAATTTACTTTGTAATTAATAACAGACATATTAAATATCTTACGTTTTCCAAAAATGGCAACGAACTCAGATTTAAAGAGAAATAATGTATTAAAGTGAAATAATGCAAAATCGTTTCGAGACCACTTGTCCGTTTAGGCTAAAAATAAAGTTTTTTCATATAATCCATATAATAAAACCACCCATATAACTCGGAGACTATATGCTTCAATGCTTTTAAAATTCTTGGTTGTTCTGACTTACAAACAAGGAAGGTTTCAATTTGTAAACACCAGTTGTGTTGCCAACCGTATGATATAGTACTATTTTAAATATTTCAGGCGTTATAAAATTTCAAAATTTCTGCTTGAAATATTTTTCTTTTTAAACAATCAGAAGGAAAAACATAAAGATGTCTTCTCGCTTTTTTGCTATTGAATATACAGAAATATATATATGCTCGAAAAACATATTATGAAAATGCACTAGTAAGCTGTTGACAAATTTTGCTCCGTTTCTGTTTACTGCGCCATATTTTAAAATCTTAATTTTTATAATGCATCGGATACCTGTTTATATTTTTCGCTATCGGGGAATATTTTAATGTAATTATTTCAAGGAATCTTTCAATGCAATATTTTGTTTCGTATAATCTGTTCAGGAAACTAGTCTAGAAATTAAAACAATTTTAGTTGCTCAGTATCTCTATATAGAGAGTGTTTAAAAATGATAGCTAAAGTCAAGGATAAAAATTTCTTGAGCATATAGTTGTAGCTATGGTCCCATATTTAATAACGCAAACTAACTTTCCTAACTTCGTAAAAGTATAGGAAGTTAAAAGTTTTATGGATGCCTTCAGCTTGAGATTTTCTGACGAGCTATTATTCCTTTTGTTCTAAAAGATGAAAAATCGGTTTTGTCATATTAATACCAACCTTGTTCAAGTAACATAAAGCTTTTAGTTTGTGCCGCAATTAATTGTACCAAAGGAAAAAGAACTATCAAGAAAGGGAAAATGCTAAAAATTGTTAAAAAAAAACATTTTTAGTAAATTTTGATAAATATGACTAC